CCTGCTACAGCCAAGAAGGGACCAGGAAGGAGGGATAAATAGGCCATGTGGTCGACGCCATCTTGTTCTCAGATCAGCACTTCATCCCAGAGGCAGCATTGCAGGGATCGAAGAGCCCAGAAGACCAGTGAACCCATCCTGATGCTAGGATGTGCAACAAGAACTTTTAAACCAGCAGCTGTAACATCTCTGCTAGAGCCTGCATCGAGGGCTGGGAGTTTCGATGCATGTGATGTATGATTCTTTAGCAACCTTACTCTCATGCTTTTCTTTCTGGTGATAATAAACCTTTAGATATAGATTCTAAAGGATTGGCCCAGCGTGATTTGTGGGTAAGATCCAGAGGGTAAATTGACTAGGGATCTGTGGCTGGTTTCTTGGAACCGGACAGGACTTGTTTGGGGTAGGTGGGATTGGGTGCTAGGACCCTCCATCTGTGTATGAGGCCCGGGGCCATCTGGGGCACGGATATTGCTGGGGTGTCAGAGGGGTTTTGCTCGTGAGGCTTCAGGCAGGCAGCTGAAGCGCTCTGTGAGACTGGTTTGTGGCGTGTTTGGAGAGGTCACCAGTCTGGGGGCTGTAAGGAGCCCTGGATTTGAGCAATTCGCCCTGAGCAGACGCCCTCAGCTGTGCCCAGACTTGGCCCGGCACACCCTGAGGAAAGTTTTTTGATTTAAGAGCCAAGAATTTCTTTCACTGTTGTGGGGGTACAGCACAGCACTTTAGCTTTTGCAAAGCTTCACAAACATAAATGCTCTTTTTGAAAAGTAAGAGATGTCAGTCACCATGAAGTTTGTAATTCAAGATGGACTCAATATGACTCAAATATCTTTGTCTTGATCTCTAGGATAATGCTTCTCCTCTGACTATATCAGCTCTTGACTAAATTCTGCAGTATGTTCCAAATGGGGAACAACCAAATTATTATATTTGATCATTGTTTTTGGTGTAGCAATCCTGCATACAAGGTGGATCTCCATAAAATAATTTACTAATAGCTAGAAATACTGGAAGTTGTTGTCATATTTTGGGACTTAGGACTATTGGGAAATGTTTTTCAAAATAAATACAGATTTTACTCTGACTGTTAAATGGTGCATGATATGCCTCCATCATCCCTTTTCATATCCTCCTTACATTACTCATACTCAGTACTTGGCAGAAATGCCATTTGACTACATACTCTTTCTCTGAGGAATGACTAAATACTTCTGGAATGGCACATATATTTAAAGTTAACCCTTTGCTATGTTGACTCTCTCCTCAGGCACTATGCTACCAGCACTTCTAACTATCTTCAAGTCACCACTGACTTCCTGAGGAAACGACAGAGCATCACTAATCTTCCTGAAAACACCATCTGGCTACCATAGATGAAGAAGCTCTTTATACAAACATTTCACATGAAGATGCACTACAAGCGGTTAGGAACAGTATCCCTGATAATGCCACAGCATACCTGGTGGCTAAGCGTGTGACTGTGTCCTCACCCATAACTATTTCCATTTTGGGGACAATCTATATCTTTAAGTCAGTGCACTGCTATGGGCACACATATGGCCCCACAAAATGCTAACGTTTTTATGGCTGACCTAGAACAATGTTTCCTCAGCTCCCTTCTCCTGCCACACCTTCTCTACTTACACTACATTGATGGCATCATCACCATATAGACCCACAGGAAGGAGACTCTTAAAAAATTCCACAGAGATTTCAACAATTTCCACCCCAGTATCAACCTCATCCTGGACCAGTCCACACAAGAGATTCACTTTCTTGACAATACAGTACAGATAAATAATGGTCACACAAAGACCACACTAAACTAGAAACCTACTGACCACTATTCTTATTTACATGCCTCTAGCTTCCATCCAGGACACATCACACAATCTGTTGTCTACAACCAAGCCATAAGATACAGCCAGACCTGCTCCAATCCCACAGACAGAGACAAATTCCTACACAATCTTTATCAAGCATTCTTAAAACTTAAATACCCACCTGGGGAAGTGAGGAAACAGATTGACAGAGCCAGAGAAGTACCCAGAAGTCACATAGGGTATGTCTACACTACCCCGCTAGTTCGAACTAGCGGGGTAATGTATGCATACCGAACTTGCTAATGAAGCCCGGGATTTGAATTTCCCGGGCTTCATTAGCATAAAGCCGGCTCCACCATTTTTAAAAGCCGGCTAGTGCGAACCCCGTGCCACGCGGCTACACGCGGCACGGGCTAGATAGTTCGAACTACGTAGTTGTTCCGAACTATCTGTACGCCTCGTGGAATGGTAGTGTAGACATACCCATAGTTCCAGACAAAACAAGGAAAATAACAGAACACCACTGGTCATTACCTACAGCCCCTAGCTTAAACCTCTCCAGTGCATCATTGACAATATACAATCTGTCCTGGAAAACAACCCCTCACTCTCACAGACCTTGGGAGACAGGCCAGTCTTTACCTTCAGATACACTCACCCAGGAACCTACCGCTGCCACAAACCTAGTTGCCAACTATGTCCACACATCAATACAGGCAACGCCATCACAGAACCTAACCACATATGTCACAACATCTGCGGCTCATACAACTGCACATCCTCTAATATGATGTATGACATCAAGTGCCAGCAATGCCCCTCTGCCAATGCCCCTCTGCTAAGTCTCTGTGACAAAGGATTAATGGACACAAATCTGTCGGGAATGGTAACACAAACCTATAGGGGGACATTTTAACCTCCCTGAATATTCTATAATGGATTTAAAAGTAACTATTCTTCTACAAAGGAATTTTATCACCCAATTACAGAGGGAGACTGCTGAACTTGGAATTCATTTACAAGTTCGACACCATTAACTTGGGCTTGAATAAAGATATTAATTGGTTAACACTCTACAAAGGTAATTTTCCATGCCTTTGATATACACATTTGCACATCAAAAACTATGAATGGGACACATCTAGCATTATTAACACTGGTCCTACAATAGACAGGTAACTGCTTTTGCTGTTATATATACTCTGTATTCTGTAATTTCCAATCCAACTCATGTAATGAAGTGGGTTTTACTCATGAAAGCTCAGGATATAATATATTTGTTAGTTTCTAAGGTGCCACAGGTCTACCCTTTGCATCTTTGTTTTTTTATTTGCCCCCTCATTAATATTTTATCTTTTCCACATACAACAGGAAATACTAGTCACATCATTCTTTCACCCGCCTAGTTATGTCAAAGCCTGACTTTCATAATTAAAGTTTTAAGTGGCTTAAATATGAATTGAAGGTTTTTACAATTAAGTCAGTGGTAAGACTTCTCCTGGGAATAGTACCAGTACTATTCTATGCATAAAGGTACTTTTTCAGTCTGTCAGCTTTTCATGTCTCATTATTGTACAGTAAATAACAATTTATTAATAATATAGGACAATTGACCAAATTCTACTCTCATTAACAATGGATTTATACTTCTATAATGCCGTTAATTTCAACAAGGTTCATTTAACTTTATACCTTTAGTGTTCATCAAAAAGCCTTCCACCCTTGGCTACCACACGGCAAAACTATCAGGGCACAAAGATGACTTTTTACTCAATGCTTGTTGAAGACAGTCCAGGGAAAAACCTGAAACCCTTAATGGCACCAATGTTTGTCTTAGAGTAAAAATGTCAATAAATTCACAAATTGGTGAAAGAAAGATAATTTTCTATGGGTTGTTACTGTGAATGGATGAAAAATAAGCAGCCATGAAAATGAAGAGTGGAATATAACAAATTGATTCATAAGCAGGGGTGGGCAACAGACTTGCTGGGCTCTGGGCAAGGAGGCGGGAGGTGGGGGGTGGGGGAATAGCGCCATGCTCCCAGAAGAGGTAGGATCTCGGGAGGAAGGGGAAGGACTGGGGGAAGCCCTCGGCACCACCCGAAGCATGCTGTGCTAGCCTCCTCACCACACCCAGACCTCAGAACTGCCCAGAGTGCGCGGCACTATGCTCCAGTGGCAATTATAAGGGCCTGGGGCTCTGGCCAATGTTCCTGTAAGTGCTGCGGTGGAGGTATGGAGCCCAAGACCCTAGGAAAATTGCTGGGCCCTAGGGCTGCTGCCCTCTTTGCCCCTGCTTTCAGCAGGCCTATTCATAAGTATGGTCATTCACTCACTGTGCCTTTCTTTATCTCTTCAGCATCTGAGGAAGTGAGTTGTAGCTCATGAAAACTTATGTTTTAATATCCTAATAAATTTGTTAGTCTTTAAAGTGCCACCAGACTCCTTGTTGTTTAAATTCAGTTCTGCCTCTTTTCCCACTTAAGCAGCATTAAAATATATCTACAGCATGATAAATCTAATTTTGATATACACAGCGGCATTTTGCATGTATGCTATGGTTTTCCATTCTTAGAAAGGCTGAATTAATCTCTGGTGTAATTCTGACTTCAGATAAATATGACCCCTACACTTTAACTATGAGACTCAAAAAGTGTTTCAGTTTTATAACATTCTGTAAAAGTTAGATTTGTTAATTTATTTTTAACGCACCAAGAGATGTTTCATGCCTCTCTCTCTCTCTGTGTGTGTGTGTGTGTGTGTTGTTTTTACTGTGACATAAGATTTCTCCTTGTTTGGCATGTAGGATTATGTTATCTGTACCCTTTTGGCTAATGGAGTTCTCTGCATGAGATATGGGCATTTTAATCCTAGATACCACTTTTAGAACTTCATTTGTTTTGTTGTAGTTGCACAGAGACAGCTATAAATTAGTCCTTATGAAGCCAATAATGCAGATATAATACTTGAGGAATTCCTTTTGGTTCAGTTGTATTTATTTTTCCAAACATTTTGTTTGAGCGAAAATGAGATGGCTATCTACTGTTTCCTTATTTTTTTGCAGGAAAGCAAAGAGTTGTTGACTTCCTCTCCCCTCCCTTCCTTCCTTCTTTCTGAAGGTACTGTACTCATCTGAAAAAAGAGAACGAAGTGATTGTTCCTGTTCTCTTTCTTAAGTCATTTGAAACATTGTCCTTGCTCATTTTCTAAGTTTACTGCAATCTCTATACAGGGAGCAGGAGAGATTGCCAACAGGAAAGCAGGTAGAGAGCTTAGCTCATTCCAACGTCAACAATTGGTAAGTTTACCATGAAAGAGTTTTTACTGAAATCTTTGTTAGTTTAGTAGATATATCTATAAATATAGGAAAGTTATTTATCAACTACTAGTTTAAAAATAATGACTGTATGCCTTGACATGTGGTATATGTTGTCATTATAACATATCTACTGGCAGTTTTTTAAATACTGCTATTAGTTGTATGAGGTATAATCAATATATTGAGGAATGATTTCTCAGTGAGATTGATAATCTTTGCAGTTTTCAATAGTGCAAATTCTTTCATATGAAGCTGAGTAGTTGACCTTTCCTTTCCAGCAGCCATTGTAGCTTGTTACACACTTCACTGACTTTATAGTGAAAGTTTCAGTAAGGTTTACTGGGATCTCACAAAGGCAGAGATAGGGTTAGTAGGTATGCAATTGATAGGCTAGTATAGTTTGTTCATCTCTGACCATTACCTAGGACATATTCATTCAAGTATTATATGAGCAACTGAGCTGTCATCGAGCTGTCCCATAAAAAAGAAAGAATTACTACTCTTTTTTTTTAAACAGAGCTTTATTGGGTGTGTGAATACACGTTTGTATCTCTCAGTACCTTTGATATATGCAGTCTGAAAGCAGTGATATTTGAACACTTGAGTGAGATCCAGTTTCATTTTTAAAAGACTAAGTTACAACCAATGTCATAAATAGTAAGATTATCCACCAAGGATGATAACATGATAAAATGCTATCTACTCAGTTATATTTTTTATCAACCAATGGCCCGTCAACTACAGTTTCTAATTATCAAGTTAGCAAAGTCTGACTGCACATTTAGCAAAGAGTGTGATGTAAGCATGTAAGTTATTTGTATAAGGCAGGCAACAACACAAATAGCAACTTTTATACAAGAAGGCATAGTAGGAATGAGTAGAATGTGTCACGTTTCTACAAAAGAGTATCTAGATCATCTCTTGGCCCCATATTAACTTGTCTGTGAGACATCAGAATGTTTTGTGGGACATCAAGTCCCTGGCTGCTTAGCTCCTAATGCAGGGCAGGGCACTCGAGACCAGGTACAGACAACTCTGGCTGGTGATGGATCCTCTGAGATTCATGGGTTCTGGGGGTTGTGCTTCCTCTGAAGTGGGAATATACTTTTCCCCCAATGACTGAATGAACACATTTTTCTTCCTTGTGATTCTTTTCTATACTCCCCTCTCCCCCTTTTCCAATGGTAGGGAGTGATCTATCCCAAATTAGCAAGCTTTCTGATAAAATTACATGTTTCTCCAGTACTTTATAACTAATGTTAAAAAGAAGGAGTTAATCAATGTATTGTTTAGTATGGTTTGAAATTAAATGTACCAATTTATCTAATTTGGTGCTATTCATGAGCTTTGGATGATACGTCACCTACAAAATGTTTTCTAAGGTTACCAGTATAAACCAGTTTTCAAGTGTACGCAAGAAAATGAGATGCATACTTTTTTTATTTGGATGCCCAGTTTGGCACTTAGTTGGACATAAAGGCTACTTTATGTGACCAAGTTCTGATTCAGACAACCAAATGTAGAGTTTGGATAGTTATTTAGGTGGCTACGTCTGAAAACTGGGTCCCCATTAATATGTCAGTTACGATAATCAGAGAAGCCTTTTTATGCCATTTGCTTGGAATGGCAGAATTTTTCTGTTCTACTGCTGTTCCCACTATTGATGGGTCCCACCTGCAAAATTTTGATCTGGGATTGCAGACGCCCCAAAATTCTGGGAAGGTTGAATCCAGCATTTAGGCTCAATCCGTGATTAAGTTGGGAGCCAACTACAAAATTTAGATCCAGATTTCAGTGGTAATAATCTCAGCAAATTCATATACACTTGAAATCTGGGCCCATGTTTACTAGATATCCCATCTGAGAATTTGGAAAAAAGAGAATTCTATGATCCCGAAGCAAAAAAGCATGTATACTTGTTGTTGTAGTAGCTAATCCAAACATAAAATGCTGATTTTAGACTCAGTTCTCTATTAATATTTATGTAAAATAGCAATGTAGAATGACACTTTATAATTTAGTTGTAAATACAGTCCCTGAGTTTTGTGCTTCATTCTTGGATTATGCGCTTCAGTTACATTTCTCTTTGATACAATACATTTTTGTTGGTCATTTGCAATGGGTATAACATTGTGCACTTTTGTTATAAAATCACTACAACATGATTTTATAAAATAATACCATTATAACTAACTAACTAACTTCGCTTTGAGAGATTTGGAAATGGAGTTTTGTCCTTATCTCACTTTGCTGCGAAAAAGTTATAGGCAGAGAATCTGGGGCTATGTCTACACTGCAGAGTTCTTTCAGAAAAATGGCCATTTTCCCAAAAAACCTTCACTTACATCCACACCCCAATTGCGTTCTTTTGAAAAAAGAATCGAAAGAACAGAGGTTTTTTCCCAACATTGGTAAACCTCTATCCACAAGGAAGAAGCCTTTTTTCTGAAAGAGCTCTTTCAGAAAAAGGCGTGTTTGGATAGGGAAGAGGGAGTTCTTTCGAAAGAAGAAGACTCCAGAAAAAAACACAGGTGTTCTGTTGGCCATTCCGTCCATAGTAATCACAGCTTAAATGTGAGATAGCGTTCATTCAGTGTGGACACTGTCTTTTGAAAAAGCAGATCACTTTTTCGATGTGCTTTGGCAGTGTGGATATTCTCTTTCAGAAGAAGTTTTTTCAGAAGATCTCTTCTGGAAAAGCTTCCTCCGAAAGAAGCCTACAGTCTAGATGTAGCCATAGGTTATGAATGCTAGCCTCCATAAATTTAAGTGTGTAAGTTTAGAGAGTATGTTTAATGTTTATGAAATAGATTTTTAGTGATTAGTGATTAATTCCTATGTTATTAAGGAAGGCAATAAAACAGGTATTTATCAGAGACACACTTTTTTATCTTATTTAAAAGCTTATTAGTGCCTTTCTTTAAAAAACCCCAAAACATAGTGACAATATAGTTTTGAGTAGAGCTGTTTGAAACTCCAATTCCCATTCAACAGGATATTCTGAATATGTTTTAAAAAATTGTTCCAAAATAAAAATGAAATGAAAATTCCAAAATTTCATTTGTAAATGTTGAAATGTTTCATTTCAATAAGGTAAAACCTTTTTTTAATAACATGACTTTCATTTCAAATTTATCTGACTTGACTTTAAAATTAGATAATATAAAAAGGCAAAAGATTTCAACTTTTATCTTATAAGTTATAACAGAACATAACAAAAGTTGAAACAAAGTTGAAATGAAATATTTCAATTTTATCTAAATGAATCATTGCGAAATTTTCATTGAAAATTAACAAAAAAGTTTTATCGGGATATTTTTGGGATCAGCAGTAGTTTTGAACTATTATACACTAACTAGCAAATATATAAAAATAATGAGTAGCCCCATGGCGCCTTAGAATATAATATTTTTTATATATTTTTACACACACACACACACACACACAATCATGAGCTTTTCTGATGAGATACATCCAGATGAGATGCAGCTGAAGAAGTGAGTTTTGCCCAAGAAAGCTCATGATACTAAATCTATTTGTCACTCTCTAAGGTGCCAAGGGGCTACTCATTTTTAAAGTTACAGATTAAACACAGCTACCCCTCAGAGACTTTTTAGCTAATATATAGTTTAGTGTAAGGATAGGGGCTATGTCCTGCAGCCTTACTTCTGTGTGTAGCTCCATGGAAGTCATAGGAGAAAGGGATTAAAGTCAATGAGATTTTTTCTGTACAAAGAAGCTTTTCTGCTGGCATACATTTGTGGGAGTGCAGACATGCTAATACACAACAGCTGAAATTTGGCTCATGGGTTCTAAATGTTTAAAAGGTATTATTTCCTTTCACATTTTGGCATCTCTTTTACAGTTGTTGTGTTGTTCATATTTTTTGGCAATGGGAGAATTTTTACCTTGAGAGATCTGTATTTTACCCACAAACCTTGAAAGGTCTTGGCCTAATTGTTCTTAAAGCAGCTTGGGCATAATGTGGATACAGATAAGTTTTAAAGCTGTAATTATAATATTGTATATTTTTGAGGCACCACCAGAAGATAAATGTGTTGGCATGGATTAGAGTGGACGAAAACTTCTTGGCAGCTTCAAACCAGTAACCCAAGATAAGCCTGAAATAAAAATCACCACATTCCTAGAAGTAATCCTGGATTGATTGTAAGTAGGATTGAGAATTGATTATCCTAGGCAAAATGTATTGAAATTTTCAATTTTTGCATATCACAGGGACTCCAATACAGCAAAGCAATCTTCATGAATGGACCATTTCACCCATACAGATCCCTTTGTAGGTTTGGTCCCTTAGAAACAATAGCAATAATGCTTTGTAAAAGAAGATAAATATAGACAGAGATAAGTGTATTCATTATCTGACATACCTTTTAAAATGTTATGTCTTGAATGTCTGTATTAATCACCTTTTTGAAAAGTGTTGTTAAACCAAATGAATCATGTATTTTAAAAATGCAGTAGCTTCTCCACTCCCACTGCTCACCTGAAGAGGACTAATTAAGCATGGCAAAATGTGATATCAGAGAAGAAAAGTGTCTTAGAGAAAGAATTTTAGAAGGAAAAAAAATGGAAGCCTTTAAAAAGAAAGAAAAGGTCAAAAAATAGCTAGAGGAAAAGCAGATGCTGGGAAAGCCTGATGTCACCTTCATTTTCATGTTGAGAAGCTGATAGTTATGAAACAAAAATGACAATACCATTTTTAATGGCTGATATTCAGCATGAGGGTTAAGAATGCTCATCCAGACAAGAGCTCTGACTAGGTGAACACCTATTGTATTACATCTAGGATGTCTAATTTGCCTTCATATCCATTTGGCAGGGATCAAACCTTCTTGCCTTATGTATAAAATACCAAAGATTCTAGGAAATAATCCCATCTGTTTTAAAAGAAGTACTTAATGCTTTCCTTTCATGCCCAGGGAATTCACAGCTATGCAGTAACACTAATGGAACTACATAGGTGCTATTGTGGTTTGTACACTCACAATAAAGTAATTTTTCCTTTAAATTGAGAATGGTATGGTATTGCAAGAGGGTTTCCTTCTTGGACATTGCAAACAATTGCATTTAACAAGTCTTATACTAAAAAAAATTGGGATACTTCTAAATTGCAATATATTCCCTATCTGGTGTTTTAATTTCTCCCTCTTCCCCCATTTGCTCCTGGTTTCTTGCTGCATAATTTAGAAACATATCATCACTGGCAGTCAGTGACTTGAATCAGGGAGTAATACAGCTATTATTCTGTTTCCTCAACTATTCTAAAAAACAAAAAATGTAGCTACCTTTCACTTTCATCTTTTAGACACTAGATGAAAGCCAGCGTTAGTTGCAAACCAACTGTGAAAAATCCACTTTACAAAAGATTTAGGAAAGCTGTGTTTTTCATTAGTTGGAGATCAAATTTGTTTTTTTCCCCTTGACAATTTTTATAAACAACTAACATAAAAACTGTCCTAGTTTTTGATGGTCCATACTTATTGGGAATGTAGGGTACCATTTCATATAGAAACAGGATTTTGGAAGCTGTACAAAGAATAAAAAATGTTTAACTGTTCACTTGGCATGAAGGTTCGCAATGTTGAATTAACAAAAGCAGTAAAATTAATTTAGTGAATATGTAGGTTGATACTTTTCATTGAAAAATCATTCTCCCCTCCACCTTTCTCTATTGGATTAGAAAGAAGTACCATTTATTTTAAATCAGAAGCAAAGTTGCAATGGGATCATACCATGAGTTTCTATTATTCTGTGAGGATTTATTAAAGAAGTGTGCTAACATTAGCAATGAGGCATCCATTGTCTGATCTTTCACTTCGAAGCAATAATTTCTCCTTATTCATTGACTGATCAAGTATGGAAACTATATAATTTATCTGGGTTAGACTGTAATTTTACAGTCTGCCCTGAGTAATAGGATAGTACATTGCTGCACTATGCCAGGAACAGAAACGAGAATGAATTATAAGCCAGAAACTATTCTATTTCCTTTCCTGCTTACTCCTTAATCTGAGTGTGTCTACACAGCACCCTAAATTCAAAATAAGATACACAATTCGTGGTACACAAATAGTGCAAATTGAGCATCGTATTTTGAATCTATTTCAAAATAGCTTATTTTGAAATTTGGCGTGTCTACACAGCACAAGATTTCAAAATAACGTGCTATTTTGAGCCATCCCTTATCTCTCGTGCAATGAGGTTTACCAGGATGCCGAAATAGCATGCCTGTTATTTTGAAAAATACTTTGAAATACTGGGCAGCTTGTGTAGATGCGGGATAGCTATTTTGGGATACCAGAGGTAGCCGTGCAGTGTAGTCGTACCCTGAGAGGGGAGTAAATTACTTCACCCCTTTTCAGAGAGCAGCTTACACATCCCTGTCCAGATATCTGAATGACTACTCTGGCTGGCCACTAAAGAGAGGGGAGCCACAATTGCTTCTATACCTCCTCTCATTACCCACTTGCTTCACGGTAGGAGGAATATTGGCTAAACAGTCTCTGCTTTGCCCTCCCTCCCAGAACCAGAGTTGTAATTTGATGGAGTTTGTGGGCTTTATTCTGTCATAAAATGAAAATGATGTCTTCCTCATGGTAGGTCTCCCAGAAGGTATACATACTTCTTTCTACATGTGCAAATGTTTTATAAATGGATGTGTTGATGTACTCTGTAGCTTTAATAAAAATAATATGCACAATTGAAAAATTTAGATTGATTGACCTCCTTTTGGAAGGCAGCATTTCCCTTGTTAGAACAATCTATGTGTAGACCTCCACCCCATATTGGGATTCATAGAATCATAGGGCTGGAAGAGACCTCAGGAGGTCATCAAGTCCAGCCCTCTGCCCAAAGCAGGACCAATCCCAACTAAATCAACCTAGCCAGGGCTTTGTCAAGCCGAGACTTAAAAACCTCTAGGATGGAGATTCCACCACCTCCCTAGGTAACCCATTCCAGTGCTTCACTACCCTCCTAGGGAAATACAGTAAAACTCCGATAGTCCAGCATCCAACTGTTCGGCATTCACGATACTCCAGCATCAAAATGCCAACCGCTCCTGACCAGCTGATTAAAAAGCCTGCCCCATAGCACACGTGTTGGCTGTAACCAGAGGGAGCATAAGGTTGGAGGAGAGGGAGTGGGATCGTGTTACAGTATGGAGAAGAGCATTTTGCTTCAGGGAAGGAGAAAGGGAAAGGGAGGGGGAGGAGGATCAGGTTACAACACGGAGGAGCTGCGAAGAGGAAAGGGGAGGCGAGAGGGAGAGAGATTGTGTCCTGGCCAGCTGTTAAACCATGCAGCTGTACCGGACCTCCTGATTCTCCGGCAAATCTGATATTCCGGCACCACCTAGGTCCAAAAGGTGCTGGATTATCGGAAGTCTACTGTAGTTTTTCCTAATATCCAACCTAGACCTCCCCCACTGTAACTTGAGCCCATTGCTCCTTGTTCTGCCATCTGTCACTACTGAGAACAGACTCTCTCCATCCTCTCTGGAACCTCCCTTCAGGAAGTTGAAGGCTGCTATCAAATCCCCCCTCAGTCTTCTCTTCTGCAGACTAAATAAGTCCAAATCCCTCAGCCCCTCCTTATACAAATTATCATCCAGTATCTCTGCTTAATGCTGAACATTAAATCATTCCATAACAATCATTACAAAAAGCAGTACAGATCTGAAAGCAGAGTTTTACCTGCAGTCATGTGAATACCAACATCAACCACATGTGTCTCACTGGGAAACAGATCCCCAAAAAATTGATTCCAAATATATATTCTTCTATCTGAGGAGATAAGAAACACCTCTCAATTTAAATATAAGTCTCAAACCAAGAAATTGAATGCAATGGGAGTTACTTGTGTCCAGTGGGGAAAGAATCAGGACCCAGGATTCCATGTGATAATCTTAATGAGCAGGTCCACTAGTCATCCACTACAGGCAACAACGATACACATGAGTAAACATAACCTATTTTGTGCAGTCTTGCAACATGCCCATACCTGTAAGTCAATATAATGTACGAGAATTCTACATTCCACATAAAATAACTAGCAACTATGAAGCCCCCAGTGGACTTCATGGAATCTCTGGCACTTTTCCATTCTCAGGAAAAAAACAAACAAACAAACAAAAATTCTGCATGGGAAAAGATTTTTGTTTTTTTAACTTTATCGAGTTATTGTTATTTTTGTTGTTTGCTTTGGGTCTTTTTTCGAGATTTGTTTTAGGAGTTAGTTGTTTGTTTTTTTCGTTGGATGGAGGTTTTTGAATGTAAGGGAGAGTTAATGTTTTGTGTATTTTTCTTGTGAAGGAAAGCACTTTTTAAATGAGACCTTTGGGATGGCTAATAATTAATAATGATTAATAGATCTTCTAAGTAATTATTGGAGTGGCTTGAAAATGTTAATGAAGTTTCAGACTTTCATTAAAAACTATATGCCATTTTTGCAAATGTTTTTTCAAAAACCACATCCCCTTTTTTCTCACTTCTAATCATTATTATAGTATAATGTTAGTGATCCTAACTTAATTTTTTCAGAGTTTTCTAACACTGCCATTTAAAACTGTATTTGAACCTTGTCAGCTATTGCGTATTTCTGCCCTAATGACAGGACTAAATTGATAAAGTTGAATTTTATTTCTGAAATAATAAAATAATAATCATAATCATAAAACCCCAAACCAAACAAACAACTGTGGTGCCAATTTCAGGTGCTTTTTTAGATCTGTTGCCACTAACTACTGCTTATTTTTAAAACTTTAATTTCTGCAATTGCTAAAATTAGAAAAATAATAATTAAACATTATTTGCAGAATATTCACTGGTGGATCAGAGAGTAGAAATATCATTGGATTCCCCTGTTACTCAACCAACTACAGGATTCAACTTTTGGATCACAGGGGAAGGGAAAAGCCAGAGATGAAGTTCTATTAAAGTATTCCTTGTGAGCTTTTAACAAGTCATTCAGAAACAATATTCAGAGCTGGAGCTAAAGCACCAAGGATATTGCTCTTTTACACACACACAAAAAAATCAACATTCACTTACACATAGGAGGAGACAGGAATTTGGTAGTGTAAGTTCTTTTTCTGATAGAACTACTTCAAATAAGAATTGTTTCTGTACACTTGTAGCCTGCATTTC